TCAGGGCATGGCTAACTCACAGATCCGTAGATTAAAACAACCTCTGGGCTGATCTAAGTCAGGGCATGGCTAACTCACAGATCCGTAGATTAAAATAACCTCTGGGCTGATCTAAGTCAGGGCACGGCTAACTCGCATATCAAACCCTGAAACACCCTCTGGGCTGATCTATAAGTCAGGGCATGGCTAGCTCACAGATCAATCCCCGAAACAACCTCTGGGCTGATCTAAGTCAGGGCATGGCTAACAAACAGATTAAATTTGAATTTAACTTGTTAGGTTTTGCAAAAAACTCTACTCACAGGTGACACCGACTTCAGGAATCGAACCCCGAGCCCCATGAGATGAAAGGCGAGTGTTCTATAATTTTATCTTTTATTTTAAAACCAAACCAAAAAAAAAAAAAAAAAGCAAATTCGCATATTTATTTATAAAACATCTTATAAGAGCGAGCTTGACTAATGATTGGGCTCCCATGTTTCTGAAACAACAAACGAGCATTCTAATCTTCACGCTGAAAAAAGGAAGCTAATAGTTGAGTTTACGATGTAAAAAAGAACTGAAATATCTACAAAAGGAATGAAAATAAAGACTGTTGCTCAACAGWCTAAACTTTAAACAATAACAAAAGAATCAGAGACAAAAACATTATTTAATATTTACTACACAACTTGACTCCATCTTCAAGGTTTTTGCATCAAAAAATTGTTTACTTTTAATCACGAAATAGGCGGTATTATGGCTTCTAAACTCAGCAGAGAGCATCACGAGACGATACTGGGAATAGAAAAAGTGGACGAAAGGAAAAGATGAATAAAGGAAAGGAAAGGAAAGGAAAGGAAGTGGAATGGAATGGAGAGGATAGGAAAGAAAAGGAGAAAAGATGATATTAAAAGAACATTAAAACATTTCTTGCACCAATTGTTTTGCCATTTTCTCACCTATTTTTGTTCTCTTTTCGTATCACGGAGTCGCACGGGAGTTGCACGCGGGAGTCAAAGCCGCGGGCTCTAAACAAAACAGCTAGAAATAGACCAATAAAGGAATAGAGAAAGCGAAAGAAAAGGAAGGAAGGATTGATAAAAAGAAACAGTTGTGACATTTTCCACACACTCTTAATTTATTTAGTTCGTTTAAAAAAAACAAATTTGATTTAAATCTTGATAAGGTAATTTTAGAATATCTTTCAAATATTTCGTTTTTCATTAGCTAAAATGTTGATTTTGTAGCGCAGTTAGTCATATTTCATTATTTATAAATATATTATTGATTTCACTAGCCGAGGCAGAGGAGACCAACGGAATGACGCAGTTAGACTATTCAAAACAATATTTCTAGAGGAGCTAGTTAGCTTCCCACTGCTTTTCTCGAGAACGATAATTGCATCCGTTAATGTGAAGTAAAAATCATTTATACACTGAGCAAGTGGTTTGACCGTGGGACAAGCTTTCGCATAAGTATCATGTCCYATTTCACGTGCAATATCACGAAACRACACGCCAAMCTTCGCGCCTTTCGCGCGCTCAYGCAACTTCAGCTTCAAGTGCTCATTTAAAAAACATTTCTCTTATCTGATGTCCAGAAAAAATGTCAACAGTTTTTGACAACAAAATTGACGAACTTTATTTTAAGTAGCATGGTAAATAACCTTCTATCTGAGCCATRGAAATTTGCATTTTAAAACTGACAACTCGAGCGGTTCCCATATATTGTTTATATACGTAAACATCTTCGCGACTCCCGTTCATGCAAGTTGACCTTTCCGACTAACTTTTCTACGTTTTTTTAAGGCGAAGAGGATAACGAATGAAGTGATAARGCCACACAGCGAAAGTTCAGATTTTTTTTGGGAAGATCAGGTATGCTAATGAAAAAATGATTTATTTTTACTATTTAAACTTAGAATAAAAATCSCGATTGTTATTGTTACACCATTCTGAATAAGCGTTTTAATTAGTTTGATAAAAAAAACGAACGATCCAAGTTTAAAGTGCTATGCTTTCGGCAAATGTTCTTCATTTTAGTAGATTAGCTTAAAAGTGGTGAGCTGTGATTTTAGGACGGTTATAAGTGTTTTAGAATTAAAAACACAGGCTGTATTTTCGCTTTATTTTACGGTTGAATAGCAAGGTCTACTGAACTAAACTAACCATTCTTTTTTTCATTTTCTTATTTTCATTTAGAAATTTTATTTAATGAAATTAAGTTTTTTTTGACAATTCAGGGCGATAATAGTACATTTACTCGCTTTATTCTAAAACCACGTATATTTCAGATATCTCTAAGCATAGATACATATATATACACACACACACATATATATATTATTTACATATCTGAAAATATTTCAGTAACAAAACTATCCCATAATTTCTTATATATTACCCTACATATTTCTTATATATTAATGTTTCTTGCATGTGGCTGACTATATATCTAACTCTCTCTCTCTATATATATATATATATTCCTATATATATCTTTAATTTTGCCTATTCTGCACTAGACAACACACAACACAACCACATTGTAAACGCAGAATCTTTTCTTTCAGTGATATACATTTTGGGAATAATATCATCCTAATAAATATTTCCAATATACATTATTAATCATAAATATATATTCATAGATAAACAAGGTCAAAATACTCATGTATTTATAAGGATATTTTTTACCACAACATGGTAATATCTTTGCCCAACTTCCGGCCCTGGAAATTCATCTACAAGTCTAATTTTACATCCCTACTTCAAAATAATCCCCTTTCTCATCCATATACACGCATTTGTCCCAATGATAACGCTGATTCTGATAGCCAAGYAGACATGAACTTGTAAGCATATTTGGATTTAGAAAGATTTTAAGCATTGTCTGTTAAACTGGCAAAAAATATTCACACCGAACCTTCAAAATTCATTAAATGGCATATTTATTGTTTATTATTTAGATCTAGTATTTGTATCAGATTTCAAAATTATTTTAAATTGTTTTGAA